CCTCATTAAATATTTGGTTTCTTCTGCACTGGGGACAAAGCACTGAACAAGATATTGCCCTCAATCATCAAGCTGTTACACTTGCTATTTGTACACTTTTCTGTATGTTATTCTTTGATGAAATCCGACCCCTCCACCTTGCCCCAATCCCTTCTCTCATGAAACTTACCTTCTAGAAAAGGATTTATAATAAAGAAGTAGAATCAAGGGGTAGGTCATGGAGAGGGACTGTTCTTTTGATAGGGCAGTCCAGTCAAGAAAGGGTTCTCTGATAAGAACATCTCCAGGAAGAGCTGAAGGTGAGGGATGAAACCACGTGCTATCTAGGGGGAGAGGATTCCAGGGAGAGGGAACAGCAAAAGTGAAGGCTCTGAAATGGAAGTTGCCATGTGTTAAGTTACTGCAGGGAGACCAGGTGCCTGGGACAGAGAGATTAAGAAGGAAGATGAGAGGCAGTGCAATACCATGTCGGGGTTTCCTCAGCGCAATGGAGAGCTACGGAGGGCTTTGAGCAGATGTATGACATGACCTTAGATCTTCACTCCAGCTGCTGGACTGTGAACATAGAGAGGTGAGGAGAATAGGGAAACCAAATAGGAGGCTTTTGGAAATATCTGGGCCAGAGATGACAGTGGGCTAGGGTTGTAGAGGCAACAGGAAATGGTCATTCTCATCTAACCTGCAATTAGCAGACAGCAATCACCGAAGCTTCAGCGTGGCTTGTGAAAGAAAGGACTTGAAGATGGGTCTTTCGCTAGGAGCCTCAGCAACTGAAGGGTGGGGTTGCCTTTTCCCAGATGGAGAGAGGGAGGAACATACTTCTTTTTTTTTTTTTTTTTTTTTTTTATAGAGGCATGTTTTATTTATTTATTTATTTGTTTGTTTGTTTTGTTTATACATGCACTGGGTACAGTCAGAAGCGCGGGAGGGTGAGAGAGTTCACCGGAGCCAGAGCGGGGAGCAGAGCAGGCAGAAGGACCGAAGTACACTGCTGAGGGGAGCAGCAGGCGGCAGGAGAGGTCTGCGCGCCATGTGGGACCCTCCTCTGGTGGCCGGGGAGCAGCCGGGGATCGAACCGGCGCCGCAGAGGCTGCGGGCAGCTTCGCAACCCAACGCTCAACCGCTGCGCCACCGGGGAGGCCCAGGAACATACTTCTGACAGGGTGGGGATAGGGTATATCAACTCATCTTCAGACGTAGTAAAACTGAGATGTCTGTTAGACAGCTAAGAGGAGAATTGTAGGCAGTTGGTTATCACTATGGAATCCTGGGCTGGGGACAAATTTTGAAGCTACCAATAAATCATGGGATGGATGAGAATCCCAATGAGGGTGGCCGTGGGGAAAAAAAAGGAGTCCAAAAATTGTGTCCTGAGAGTGACAAACGATAAGAAACCTAAGAGAAGTAGCTGTCAGTGAAGTATAAGGAAAACTAAGTAAGTATGGCAACCTGGAAGCCACATAAAAAAAAAAAAATTGGTCAAGGGTAAGGAAGTTCAGGACCTCCCCGGTGGTACAGCAGGTTGAGCGCAGCGCTGTGAAGCTGTCTGCAGCCTCTGCAGTGCCAGTTTAATCCCCGCCAGCCACAGAGTAACCCACATGGCGTGGCAGACCTTTCCTGTCGTGCCCGCTGCTGCCCTCAGCGGTATATTTCGGTCTGTCTGCCTGTTCTGCTCCCTGCTCTGTCTCTGGTGAATCCTCTTACCCTCCCACATATCTGGCCTGTACTCCAGTTCTTGTAGAAATAAATTTAAAAAAAAAAAATAAGGGTAGGGAAGTTCAAGTAAAGGAGTAAAGAAAGACCAATGGATTTTGTCCCATGGAATCCATCAGTGACCTCTGAAAGGAGGAGAAACAAAAACCTGACTGGAGTAGGTAGGTACAAGATAGAATGGAAAGAGAGGAACTGGAGATAGTATCAGACACCTCTATTAAGAAATATTTCTATTAAGTGAAGCAAATGATTGAGTGGGAGGTAGAGGGGGTTACCTCTACACACACACACACACACACACACACCCTCTCTCTCTCTCTCTCCTTATCCTTCTAATATATGAGAAAAGTTACACATTGTGATACTAACATGACTCAGTTGACAAGAAAAAAAAAGGATGCCAAAAAAAAGGGAATTTGTAGATATGATGCCAAGTTTAAGGACGCGATCTAATATACCAGAAAAACAAAACTGTAAGAGAATGAAGTGTCAGTGACGTAACTGGAGAGAACAGAAGAGCACATGGACAAGACCATGTCGGTGAGGTTTCTCTTGATTGCTTTTATTTTTCTCAGTTAACTGGGAAACAAGGGGACCAGCTCAGTGACAACTGAGGTAAAGTGCTTGAGGTTGAGAAGTTATAAAATAGTAAATATATAAAGCATATATGAAATGGTAGCTTACTATTACTACTGAAGAAGGGAAACAAATGCTTGAGGTTAGCACTGAGCTAATTTATAATGGGCCTGGTCTCCGGAGCCACACGTGGACAGTGGCAGACTCTACAGAGCTACGTTTTCTCTTCCCCCACCTCGTTCCCTCCCAGATGGTCTGGCTCATTTATTTACATACTGTCCTGTATTCAGCAACAATATGCCACAATGAATCCATTCACTTACTGACAGGCATTTGTGTTGTGTCCATATTTTTACTACTTTATTCCACATTTTCACTTGGAACATTGCTGCAATGAGTAGCCAAGAGGATGTCTCTGTGCTGCCATGGGAGAATTTCTGAGTCATGAGATATGTTTAGCTTCAATTTTGTTGGCTATTACCAAATTACTCCCAAAATGATTATACCAACTACCCTGTCACCAACAGTGTATAGAAGTCCTCATTTCCCCCAGACTTCTAAATTTTTGCCATCCTAATGGGCATGAAAAAGTATCTCACGGCCTTCTTTTGCAATATTCCAACTTCAAGACTGAGCACCTTTTCCTTGTCAGTCTTCTTTGTCTACAAATAATCTCCATTCATGGCCCACTTAGCAGACTACATCATATTCCTACTGGTCTGACATTGTAATAAGCAGGAGAGGAAACAAAAGAAGTTGGCAAAATAGATGTGGATCCTGCCTTCCTGCATATCAGTCCTTGTGGCTCAAGGAGACAACCCAATATTCATGAATACATTAACAGTAATCTTGAAAATTCAAGAGGGAAATCAATTTAGAGTGGGGCAGTCAGAAAAACCTTCCTTGAAGTGATATTTGCATTTTAACAGATGAGTTAGAATGAATTAGTTCAGTACACATAACTGTCCACTGCAGCTCTAATGAACTGAGCAACACTGTTAACATGTCTAGGAACTGCAGGGGTTTTCTTACCTTCTGGAGCCAGCGCAGAAGCAAAGTCCTGCCAGACACACCAGGTACTGGAGTGGGGAGAGCCTGGTTCTCTCCATCTCGCTTTTGCGATGTTGAGACTGTCTACTCCTGTCCTTTGTATCCAGCTTATTCTCCCGAGGCTCACACCATCTGGTTATACCAACCTACCCATGCTAACTCAGCAATCCTACTTTGGGTATTTAATCTCATTCAGGATATTTTAAGAAAAAATTCTATAGAAAAAAGAGTGCTTAGAAAGATAAAAATACTCAGTATCATTATTATAAAAACTTCCAGAAGTCCAAAAACAAGACAAATATTGTCAGGGCAATATTGTCAGGGGACTTGAAACAGAGACTGAGACAATGTGGAAACATGGGGAATGTTTCAGGGCTTTTTTTTTTTAAAGTATGATATAAAATTTTATCTATTGGTAAATATAGATAACACATTAAGGTATGAGGGCTGTGGATAAGCTTGGGGGGTTTAATTCATTGAAATAGTTGGGGAAAACATCCCAAGGTTTTCCAAGCTATCCCACCCAAGCTATCACAACATCCACTCACTTCATCCATTTTTTTCCAAACAACACTACATTTTTGCAGCTCCTTGAATATAACATGGCTCTGGAAACATCAAGGTCAAGGTTAAAAATTAAGCCTTTGGGGCCAGGCAGTCCTGGGTTTGAAGCTGGAACCTGCTGTCAGGCATACCGCCTAGGGCGAGTTATTTCACCACTCTGGGTTTCCCCACTTTAAAACAAGGACATGGGCCTCCTTGGTGGCGCAAGGGGTTAAGCACCGCACTATGAAGCAATCTGCAGCCTCTGCAGCACGAGTTCAATCCCAGATCCCCGGCCAGCCAGGGAGCAACTCACATGGTGCAGCAGACCTCTCCTATCTCGCCCGCTACTCCCCTCAGCAGTGTATTTCAGTCAATCTGCCTGTTCTGTTCCCCACTCTGTCTCTGGTGGATCCTCTCACCCCCCACACCTCTGGACTGTACCCCAGCTCTTGTAGGCATAAATAAATAAATCTTTTTAAAATTTTTTAAAAAAATAAAACAAGGATATAACACATGCAGATCAATTATTGACACCAGCACCAGAAATCTAACCAATTAGCTTAATCAAACAGGAGGAATCATTGAACTGATAATGGGGAGCCCATTGAGTCCCAGCAAGGGCTTCAGAAATGGAGTCAGATACAAGGAACTTGGGAATTAGAAACAAAAATGTTAGCATGTGAGCTGCATCCTCATTTCTCTGGTATGGAGTTGAGCTCCAGGAAGCACTTAGCCTTTACCTATCCGGACCTGGCAATCTCCAAAATTTCCACGACAACTCTATTGTGCAAAAATTCTGTCAAGGGGCTACATGCCTTCTCCTAGACTATCACTGACCTGTGTTTCTGGGACATCCTGACCTGTGTTTCTGTGGTCAGAACAGTAGGCACTGTTGTTACCAGAAAAGGGAGAAAAAAAGCTAGGCAGAGAGCTACCAGAAAAGCTATAATAGGGTGTGATTATATGCAATAATGGATGTTAAACACTTAACACAATGTCTTTCAAATGCCCAGCACTGAAGAAATGCTATTGACTCACCGTGCAGTGAAGAGGTTAGCAGTAATTCCCTTCTTCCAGGTGTCATTCCTTTATCTTAGCCATGTTCTGAAAATTGAAAAAGACAAACTGACTCCCACTTAGCTAAGAAGGCTATTTATTGAAATGGTACAATTATGTTACAAGGATGCATTTCATGTGGCCTAGAAAGCTGGGTGTTCCTAAGTGCATGGTGGGTGGCAGCTGGGTGGGGCTGTTTCTGCCCAGTCAGCCACATACATCTTGGGCTCCCTCCCTATTCAGTGAAGTGATGTGGAGATTCAGAGACTGACTGAATGGAGGCCAGGTTCTACCACCAGTGGTCTCCTTTGGGTCCTCTGGAACGAAGTATTTATAAACATCCTTAACAGTGGGATAGCATTCATGCCATTCCTGCAAATAGTCCATTATAGGCATCACCAAACAATCAATAGCAAAATGCTAAGTTCCTGATTCCTGGCATCCTACCCCACCAGTAGGAGAGGGTCTGAGTAGAATTACCCATTGTCAAATTATGTATAAGACCACTCAAGTGTGGCCTTGGCTCATGTGTGTGCACCAGGCATGGAGCATCATGAACAAGGTATTTCTGAATGGTTAACATCTTGGAAGGGCAGATCTGCTAGAGTATGCCATTCTGCTCTACAGGTGATAGACTCATTGAGCTAGAAAGACTACATTTCAGCCTCCTACAATTTCCCTGCAAATAATGACAATGAATGTTTGGGAGCTGCCTTAAGCCATCCAGAATAAGACAGGGATGATGGGTCCTGGCATGCAAAGAAAGGTCCACTATCACCACTACCTATATCGCCTCTCCATGATTCACTAGTGTGACCCCATCTTAAAAGGGAGAGGTTCTAAGAAAGGAACCAATGTCCACAGCTGCTACACTGTTGGTGCCAATGAATGAACAAAAGCTCTGGAAATTCCTTTAGGATAACCCACGGGAGGTGTTAAGGGATATTAAAGATTGGAGTGGCTATGAAGCTTAGCTCAGGCTTCACTGATGGAAAAATACCAAAGCTCAGTTAATTCTTATTTACATTGAAATCTTTCCTTGGCACACAAAATGAACCATTACATGCTGATTCTTTAAACTGATTTAAAGACTAATAACATGGCAATGGGTAATTAAAATTCTCTACAGCAAAAAGGATTTCAGGGGGAAATTCTCCCATTAGTTTTGTGCTGTTTTTTCCACTAATACAATGTAAGGACCATGCTTTTTTTTCATGGGGGTGTCATCGAGAGCACAATAAAAGGACTTAGTAGTTTTGTGTGGCTGACATGTTTTGGCCCAAAGTATAATCATGTTACTTGGGAAAAGAAAAAAAGTCACTAGTAGTTCAACTATTTGCATTTTCTGTTAACATTTTCACTTGTGAGCTTTTAACAGATTGTTTTAAATTGTGACAAATTTGCCTATCATTTATCTTGTGCTTTATGAATTCCCAAAGCATCCAACTCATGAGAGCTCATTAAATGTTTGTACATGGGATTTATGTTAACATTTATTTTTAAGCCCTCTGAATTCCAAAATACCTTTTCAATGGCAAGATCATGGGTCCAGAGATCCAGGAACCTGCATTCTCCACCCTGTGATGTCATTATAAGCTGTATCACACTGTGCAAACCACTTCACATCTTTGGTTTTAAATTCTTCATCTGTACAAAGAAGTGGTTGGGGGCCTCCCTGGTGGAGCAAGGGGTTAAACACTGCACTTTGAAGCAATCCGCAGCCTCGGCAGCACAAGTTCAATCCCTGGCCGGCCAAGGAGAAACCCACGTGGCATAGCAGACCTCTCCTGCCTCGCCTGCTGCTCCCCTCAGCAGTGTATTTCAGTCAGTCTGCCTGTTCTGTTCCCCATTCTGTCTGTTCTGTTCCCCATTCTGTCTCTGGTGCATCCTCTCACCCCCCACATCTCTGGCCTGTACCCCAGCTCTTGTATGCATAAATATTTAAAAAAAAAAAGGAGTGGTTGGACAAATTTATCTGAATCTTTGAATGATGAATTCTTGGTGATAGAATTGGTTTCCATGGTGAATTTAATCTAAGAGCTATAGTTGAATGCAGTGGTCAAGTAATTTTAATGTTTTGGTGATTACTATAGTTTATTAAAAAGGGTTGTAAACAGTAAGTTACAAATCTAATTGCTAAAAGTTGGTGATTTTCTGCACATATATATTCAGAACTTTTATAAAGTCTAACATATAGGCATATCATTTCCAACTAGTTATATATAAAGTCTGTCATTGTTTTTACAAAAGTCTATAACCAGATCTGAGATCGTGGCTTTTTTAAAAAAAAAACTGTCTACTAGTAGTTCTCTTCACATACCACACACACACACACACACACCCCCCACTACATTCTCAAGCTTTCTCTCTAGAAAGAATCCTTTTATACTGAATGATAACAGTATTTTAGCTAAAGTTTTCCACACATTGCTAATTTCATTGTTCCTAGAGTTTATTTCGTGTATGTATTCGCTGGTGTTTAGTTAGAGCTGAGCTTCGACTGAAATTTTTCCCACATTCCTTACAAGCATAAGGTTTTTCTCCAGTATGAATTCTCTGATGATCATGAAGATTGGTTTTCTTCCGGAAGGCTCGCCCGCATTCGTTACATTCATAGGGCTTTTCTCCAGTATGAGTTCTCTCATGCTGAATGAGGGAAGAACTTTGACTAAAGGCTTTCCCACAGTCAATACATTCATAGGGTTTCTCTCCAGTGTGGGTTCTCTCGTGTTGAGTAAGTGATGAGCGTCGACTGAAGGCTTCTCCACATTCATTACATTCGTAGGGTTTTTCTCCAGTATGAATTCTGTGATGTTCTATGAAACTTGTACTCCTTTTGAAAGCTTTCCCACATACATTACACTGATACGGCTTCTCTCCAGGATGAGAAATCGGCTGACTAAAGGTCTGCTCACCATCATATGGGTTGTTTCCAGTATGGATTTTCTGATGGTCTGTCAAGTCTGTAATGTGACTAAAGTCTTCCCCACAGTCATTACAATGATAGGACTTTACTTCAGTGAGAGTGCTTTCCTCTTGACTGAGAGAGGAGCTGTGCTTGAGATCGATGCTGTAGTTATTATTTTGGTAAGGCTTGCCTCTTTTATGAATCCTCATATGTTTGTAAAGGGATGGGCTCTGACCAAAAGCCCTCCCACATATGCTACATTCAAAAGGTTTCTCTCCCGTGTGAGTCCTCTCATGCTGGACAAGGGACGAACATCGGCTGAAGGCTTTCCCACACTCCTTACATTGGAAGGGCTTCTCTCCACTGTGGGTGACCTCGTGCTGAGTGAGGGAGGTGCCGTGCCTAAAAGACCTCCCACACAAATTACATCGATAGGGCTTCTCTCCGGTGTGGATTCGTTGATGCTGAACAAGGGAGGAGCTTCGCTGAAAGGCCTTCCCACAGAGACTACACTGATAGGGTTTTTCTCCAGTATGAGCATTTTCGTGCTGACCAAGGGATGAGCTGTGCCTGAAGGCCTTCCCACACACATTACATTCAAAGGGTTTCTCCCCAGTATGAATTCTCTGATGCTCAGTAAGTTGTGTCTTCCAGAGGAAGGTCTTCCCACAGTCAGTACATTCATGGTGCTTCTTCCCAGGATAAATTCCCTGATCTGTACCATTGGGAAAAGCTCCCTCTCCCTTATGAGTTTTTTCGTGTTTAGTAAGTGATGATCTATGAATAAAGGCTTTTCTACATTTGTTACACTTGTAAGGTTTCTTTTTTGCAAGGATATTATTCTGATTAAGTAAATCTGAATTATGTCCCAAATTGCCTCCGAGAGTATCACATTCACTAGGCCTTGAAGGAATGTTCAGTTGTGCAACCAGGTCTGTGTTCAGTCTAGAATTTTCACCAAATTTATTTTGCTCCAAATTTGCTTCTGGTGTTATTATTGTCTTCTGGGTGGGTGCACTTGGCCCCAGATAACGCTTCCAGTTTTCCTGGTGCCTCTCTAACTGGCTACTAATATCACAAGATTCTCCTAATGCGGCACGTAAGAGATCACCTGTGCTATGGGATACTTCAGGTATGTTTTGCTGCAGATTTGATGGCTTGGCTTCAGGCCTTGTCCTCCAATCTGAAAGAAATCCAAAGTGCAAAAATCCCCTATTCTCTTCTGCTGAAGCAAACTTCTACAGGAGAATGAGGAACTAAAAGAGAAATAAATGACACATGACTCTGTTTTGAAATTAGTCCTATATTTGGAGAAAAGGCACAAAATGAAAGAAAGGAAGAGTAAAGAGAGGATGGTAGGGCCTGCAGATCTTGGGTATGTGGTAAGCCCAAAAGGAAGCACATATAGGAGGGAGGTTTAGGGAATAAGTGAGCATGAATAGGCACACATACAAACGAAACAGTCTGTCTTACAGGATCTTATCTGCTCTCCATGCCTCCTACCTAGTTCACAAACCACTATAAAATCTATCTTTCTGATATATCCATTTCATTACTTCTTTAAAGCCATCTAGGAGGTTCCAGATCTCCAAATCCTTCAGAAAACCTCTGCAGCCAATAATCTAGCTGAAATGATTCCTTAACATGTGGAGACTAAGGACTATCTATACTTCACAAACTGAGAAAAATATTTCAGGAGGCAAATTATCCTGCCCTTACAACGGGGCTGTGACTGTACTCCATCTGAATTCTGGTTCTATACTAATCACCTCTCTTGAGCAAAAAAGTATTTCTTTGAGTATGTTTTATTTCTAAGCCCTTGTTTAACCTCAGAATACCAATAGCAGAGAATTAACTAATTTCTAGGTCCTAAGAATGACAACCTTTAAAAACTAAGAGAAGGGAGGGTGATAGAAATGTTCTATATTGATAGATTGGATTAGAGGGTGGTGCTTTTGTTAAAACCAACTGCATGGTAAATTTAAGAGTTGTACTTTTATAATTTTTTTTTAACATTTAATTTTATTAATGTATACAAGGACTGGGGGGCCTCCCCGGTGGCGCAGTGGTTGAGCGCTGGATTGCAAAGCTGCCCGCAGCCTCTGCAGCGCGGGTTCGATCCCCGGCCATTGGGTGAGGGTCCCACATGACGTGCAGACCTCTCCTGCCCTGCCCGCTGCTCCCCTCAGCAGTGTACTTCATCAGTCTGCCTGCTCTGCTCTGCTCCCCGCTCTGGCTCTGGTGAATTCTCTCACCTTCCTGCACTTCTGACTGTACCCAGTGCTTGTATAAATAAATAAATAAATAAATCTTAAAAAAAAAAAAAAAAAAAAAAAGAACTGGCGTGTAGGCCAGGGGTGTGTAGGGGTGGTGGTGGTGAGAGAATTCATCAGAGACAGAGTGGGAAGCAGAAGAGGCGGATCTACTGAAATACACTGCTGAGGGGAGCAGCGGGGAGACAGGAGAGGTCTGCTGCACCATGTGGGTCAGCTGCACACATGCCGCAGTGGCTGGCAATAGTTTTAATAGTGCTGAGACTTTAACCCCTGCACCACCAGGGAGGCCCTAATATATATTTTTTTCCCTTGGAAAATTGTAAGCAGACATTGACCTCTAGTTAATGATATACATGCTAAAGTATGTAAGGATGAAATGTATCCATGGCCGTAATTTACTTTAAGTAAATTAAAAAGTAAGATTGATTGATATATGTAGAGATGATGTCTGTGATAAAGTAAATATAACAAAGGGTTAATAACTAGAGAATCTTAGTGGTAGATATATAGTGTTTACTGTGTAATTTTTTTCAACTTTTCATATGCCTCAAATTTGTCATAATAAAATGCGAGAAGGGAAAAAACCCAAACAACTAAGGGACCCTAAATCCCAAAATTCCTTACCCTGAAACAAGACTAAATTCTAAATTTCTACATACAAGAATGCCTTGTATTAGAATACTTTTCAGAGAGACATTGAAGAAATGTTTGTTGAAATGAATAAGAAAGTTCTCTCCTCAGAAGATTCCATACTGATCTAGTAATTCCTTACTGCCTTTTATAGACTCTATTAACAAAAAGAAAATACATAGAAATATATTCATTCAATATTAAACATAATGAATATACTTTAAATGGATATTCAATGTTATAATATATTAAATATATATTCAATATTCAATATTATTCGAACATGGAGGTCAGAGGTTGATGGTTTATGAAGCTAAAGAATTAAACTCCTGGGTCTCCCCGGTGGCGCAGCGGTTGAGCGCTGGGTTGCGAGGCTGCCCGCGGCCTCTGCAGCGCTGGTTCGATCCCCGGCTGCTCCCCGGCCACCAGACGAGGGTCCCACATGGCGCGCAGACCTCTCCTGCCGCCCACTGCTCCCCTCAGCAGTGTACTTCGGTCCTTCTGCCTGTTCTGCTCCCTGCTCTGGCTCTGGTGAATTCTCTCACCCTCCCGTGCTTCTGACTGTACCCAGTGCTTGTATAAATAAATAAATAAATAAATAAATAAATAAATAAATAAATAAAAAAGAATTAAACTCCAATATAGTCTACCTAATGATGAATAGATAACCAAAATGTAGTCCATCCATACAATGGAATATCACTGAACAATAAAAAGGAATGAAGTACCTGCTATAACATGAAATGAACCTTGAAAATATTATGCTAAGTGAAATAAGCCAGTCTCAAAAGGTTACATGATTCCATTCATACAAAATATCCAGAACAAGCAAATTCACAGAGATGAAAAGTATATTAATGGCTGCCAGAAGCTGGGGGTTTGAGGTAGAAGAGTGACCGGTAATGAGTAGAGGGTTTCTTTTGAGGGTAATGAAGTTAGATAGTGGTGATGGTTGCACAACAATGTGAATATATGAAAAACCACTGAACTGTTTAAAAGGGTGAGTTTATGGTATGTGAATTATTTCTCAATAGAGCTCTGATTTGAAAATCCGGTATGGATTACAAAAAGAAAAGACAGAGTGAGCAATTTCAACTGGGAATTACAGCAATCTAAATCTGGGGCTTGGTTTAAGCTGTCATCAGTGGAAGTTAAAAGGCAGGAAAAATCTAAAATATTTCTCAAAGGAGGAAAATGAATTGAAAGAAAAAGAAAAGCTGATTATAGTGTCTGTCCCAAGGGATTAGAAATCTAGTTGTTTCTAATAGGCAAGGCAGCCAAATGCGTTGGTTGGAAATGAATGCTATTCTGATTTCATGTATTTAGTAAGAACTGTATGGGGCCTCCAAGCGGAGGGATCCAGTGAGAAGGACAAAAAGTGACACAAAAGGATGACTGCTAAGTCTGCAGCACAGGATAAAAGAGCTACAACTGCTGACACTAGAAGGCAGGTACACTTTCAGGGAAATAATACAGAAAGAAAGGGGAGAAAGCTGAAGGACAGAAAACCAAGACGCACTTAGGAAGCTGGGGCCCTGGAGAGGATGATGTGCCAGGAACCAGGGAGGCTGTGAATCAATTGGGCATGGAACACAGGCAGGAAGGAAGAGGCTGCTGCTCCACAGACAGGTGGTATGGGAGCGTGGTCGTGGAAGGAACTCGACAGGCAAGTTACGAAGGGAGGGAGAATCAAGCCTGAGGAATCTGACAATGAAGCAGCAAGACAAAGCACAGAGACATGGAAGTTCAATTAATGTCTGAATGATTATAGAAAGGGGTCTCTGAATAATGAAGGGAGCCTGAAGGAGAAAATAATTGAGCGAGTAAGGCTACAGAATACAGATGGTATTTGAGTACAGCCCTATGTCAAGCTACTTTCAGAAAGGAAAAGGGGGTATCTTTTCCCCTAATACCTACCAGTAGCAGCAACACCTCTGCAAAGAGAGACTGACAGAGGTGTCATCTGTCTGGCGAGAGACGGCTGCACTTCCACTGTAGGTCTAGGAGCTCCCTTGGCAGCGGTGTGAAGGTGCCCCGCGCCACCCCCTGCCCTCATCCCTACATGCCTGACCCTCACTCATTTACCTGGAGAGAATGGTTTTTGGCTTTCTCCCTCTGATATCCATGGCTCTTCTCCTTGCTCCAATTTGAAGATCACCTCTGGCTTGGAAACTTGATATCCTGCTCATGGGTAAATACACAAGATTTGGTTGTGTGTGCAAGTGGACCGAGAACCCTCCTACAAGTCAGTACTAATCCTTGATCCTCAGGAACTCTGAAGGAAAAGAAAGGTGCAACTTAAGGAGTCATGCAACCGGTGGTGTATTTTCAGTTCTGCAAAAGACAGACCTTCTCCCTAAAGAACAGTCTTGGAAACCCATAAAGCTGGATCCCAGAGAGATGAATAAGCTCTGATCACCCAGCTAATGGTCACCCCAGCAATTTGTCTCACGACCCCAGCAACTGAGAGCGGAAAGACTAGCCAGTAGGCAAAACACCAAGACAGCGTCCTTACCAAGAGAAACCAGGTGGTTATAGTTCTCCAGCATCACGTCCCGGTACAGGCACCTCTGAGCGGAATCCACATGGTACCACTCTTCCTGGGTGAAGTCCACAGCCACATCTTTGAAGGTCACTGATTCCTGTAGGATCACATTCCTGCTCAGCTAGGCAACCACCCACCTTCCCATGGCAACACTGGGAACATAGCGTAGGATCTAACGGATCATACTTTTGCTATCCCGAGGAGGGGGTGTTGGTTAAATATGCTAATTGCTTACATAATTTTGCTTACATAACATGGAAGCAGGAAGTTTGTGGAAGCCAATATGCCCTGCGGTCTTATATTCTTCCTCAGCCATCTTGCTTTCCATCAATGTCAAGCCTTTTTAACAGAGACCGGTTTCTCACTTCCCACACACTCCCTTTGTTATAAAATCCCAATACAGTGGGGAGTATAAAGTGACAGCCCTCCTTCACCCTGCCCCCCATGACCGATCCCTCTATATTCCCCAGAAATAACCACTGCTGAGAGTTCGGTGTATATACTTGAGTTCCTTTGCCGTGTCTCTCACTCTCTCATACACCCACACATAGCGTCATTTTGTGAAATACCACATACATTGTTCTACAATTTGCTTTTTCCATTTAACCATATATTTTGAACATCTTTGCATAGAAGCATATGTCCATATTTACCTCAGTCCTTGGGCCTTGGAATGGCTTCATAGTCCTCCACAGTACTACTGTCTAACACACTTGCTGCCTAAAACCAACACATACCACTATGCTAAGAATGACATTCAAACGCCCCATCACTCATGGGCTGTGGTGGCCATGCTGACACTGCTGACTCCCGAGCACATGTGGCCAGATCTGAATACACCTGTTCCTACTCCAAGCCTTTATGCTTGTTCCTTCCTCTTGTCCACGTGGCTGACAACTGGCTACTAGTTATTTAGGTTTCATCTCAAGCCTCACCTCTTCAGAATAATCGTTTTTAACACCTTCCTCTAAGGTACTCTCTATACCTTATTACCACATCAAATTTTCCTCCTTAGCAGATTTTCCTCTCATTGTTCAAATGCTTGTCATCTGAAGTCAGGAATCAAAGATTCAGACTGAAGGACACTTGTACTTGTATCTGAGATCAGCTTACTTGTTAGCCCGTCTGTTTCCATTATTAAGAGCTCGATGTAAACAGGAACTTTGTCTGCCTTGGTCACGGTGACATGTGACGCCTGGAACAATGCCTGACACACAGGGGATGCTTTAAAAATACCTAATGAATGAGTAATGAACTGGTCCTTGTTAACAGACATTTGCATTTTTTTTTAAAGGATTTGAAGATTTTATTTTATTTATTTATACAAGCACTGGGTACAGTCAGAAGTGCGGGAGAGTGAGAGAATTCACCAGAGCCAGAGCGGGGAGCAGAGCAGGCAGAAGGACCGAAGTACACTGCTGAGGGGAGCAGCGGGCAGCAGGAGAGGTCTGCGCGCCATGTGGGACCCTCCTCCGGTGGCCGGGGAGCAGCCGGGGATTGAACCGGCGCTGCAGAGGCTGTGGGCAGCATCGCAACCCAGCGCTCAACCGCTGCGCCACCGGGGAGGCCCCATTTGCATTATTTTTAAATTTTTGCTATTACAAGCATTACTGCAATGTGTGTGTTGTGTGTGTGTGTTGTATGTATGTGTATAATTTGCTCAGGCCCCCACCCCTATCACTTCTTCCTCACCACCCCCTGAAAGCAGGCTGGCTGAGGTGGCCTATGCCTCTCAACTGTTAGTTTCATGCTCATGGGCTGCTGTCTGTCTTGCCTCCCCATGCCCGGCGAAGCCACGAGACAACTGTCACCATGCCCTACTTGAATTATCTCTCCACTCCTGCTTAGCTATCCGTCTCAGACAAGCATGGTAAAAAGACAATTAGTATGCAGAGACAGTGAGAGCAGAGCTGAGCTCACCAGAGCCGGGAGGGAAGGCGACATGAAGTGTCAGCTTTACTCTGGCCCTCTTCCCCTGTGCTTATTAAAACTAGCTGAACTACATACAGTACAGTTTCCTGGGGGGGGTCTCATTCTCTCTCCACCCACCCGTCCTTCCCTTGTTAATGCCACCTCCTATTATCGGTGACGACAGCAGGTCTTCAGTAAAGTCTTCTGATGCCCTACTGGAGGGGCAAATCCTGTATTATATGCTGTGAGCCACTTTGCACACCCAGACTTGTTCACACAAGCCCAGTAATCTAATGCCTGCTCCCCTAATTAGACAGCAAGTGTTATAAAGGTGGGAGCTATACCTTTTTTTTTTTTTTTAATTGAAAACACTGGACCTCCCTGGTGGTGCAAGGGGTTAAGACACAACCTATGAAGCTATCCACAACTTCTGCAGCACGAGTTCGATCCCCAGACGGCCAGGGAGCTACCCACATGGTGCAGCAGACCTCTTCTGACTCACCCGCTGCTCCCCTCAGCAGTGTATTTTGTCAGTCTGCCTGTTCTGTTCCCCACTCTGTCTCTGGTGAATCTTCTTACCCTCCACCCCGGACCTCTGGCCTGTACCCCAGCTCTTGTATGCATAAATAAATAAATCTTTAAAAAATAAATAAATAAATTGAAAACACCAGTGGCCAGTAAGTGCCTGATCCACACTGAACATCTGTTTCCTGATATTTGAATTTTAGAGAGGATAGGAGAGGCCCTGTTTCCGATTGAGCGAGGTGCATGACCACAGCCAGGAGCCACGCCGGCTCCTCTGGGTCACATTCTGTTCGGCACTGCAGCTGCGCCTCCTCAGGAACACGGAAGGGCTGAAATGGAGAAGACTTTTTGACCAGAGATCTGAGTGAGCCAGGTAAGATGACACTGGAGATATAAGGCGCCTGACTTTACCATATACGCTGTGGCAGATAAAAATATAATGAAAACACTACAGTTCTTGACTAGGTGTCAGCTTAAAAAGCGTCATCTATTAAACAGGACAGGAGTAGACACATCACAGAGAGGCACGGCAGGCATGCAGGGAAGACAGGGAGAGGGAGAGAAGTGTCAAGGTAGACTATCCACTGGGCCTTAAGGGGGAGGCACCAATAGGATGAGAAGAAGAGATGAGAATGAATCCAGGGATTGAGAAGCTTGAGAAGGGAAGCCGGACGTGGGTGCGCAGAGCCAGCAAGGAAAAAGGGGTTGCACTGAGGCAGGCGCTTTAAGTTTGGTTGTGAGAATTAACACCTCCTCCTTGTTGCTCACTCTGTCTTCTATAAACATATAAACAGATGGTGCTGGCCAACCTGGACTCCTCTGCTTAACTGGTTCCCATATTAAACACGCAGCCTCCAGACTTTATTCCGGACTAATGGTGAAGAATGTTAACTAGCAAACAATCGTCTGTTCCAAGTCACTGCCCACTTTCTGCCTTAACAAGACAATAACCGGACTCTGTCCATCTGTCCTGGGCCCCACCCCCCCTGTCTTCCCACACACTCTGTCACTTCTCTCAAACATAAATTTGATCATGCGCAGAAACCTTTCCACGTCTCCCTTATCCTATCACCCTTACCATAGTCTGTGCCACCTTCATCTCTTACCCTCAGACCACACCCTCCTACCGTGTCTCTCCTTGTTCACTTTTGTCTGCCCCACATCTATTTTCTGTATAACAGAGTGATTTTGTTAAAGCCTATCAGACTGGCATGTCTTTACTTAAGCACCCGATAGTATCCTAATTCACCCAAGTAAAAGCCATTCTTTGCAGTGGCCTATATGGCCCTTTACTATCTGGCCCCCCACCCCCTCCCTGACCTGATGTTGACCCTCATTCCCTACCTACTACTCTCCCTACTTCATTCACCCTGCCGTCCCTTCAATTCCTGGAACACACTACACACATTTCTGACTTGGAGTCTCACTCTACTGGTCCCCAACTTGCTACCGTTTTCCTGCCAACGTGCACATGGCTCCGCGCTCACTTCCTTTAGCTATTTGTTCAAATGTCAGTGAACCTTCCCTGAGCACCCTACATAAAACAGCACTCCCACCCTGCACTTTGTTTTTTTTTTTTTTTAAAGAGGCATGTTTTATTTATTTATTTGTTTGTTTGTTTGTTTTGTTTATACAAGCACTGGGTACAGTCAGAAGCGCGGGAGGGTGAGAGAATTCACCAGAGCCAGAGCGGGGAGCAGAGCAGGCAGAAGGACCGAAGTACACTGCTGAGGGGAGCAGTGGGCGGCAGGAGAGGTCTGCGCGCCATGTGGGACCCTCCTCTGGTGGCCGGGGAGCAGCCGGGGATCGAACCGGCCCCGTGGAGGCTGCGGGCAGCTTCCCAACCCAGTGCTCAACCGCTGCGCCACTGGGGAGGCCCTGCACTTTGTTTTTTATCATAGTTCTTACCACTTGACATAACACATTTTAAATAATATCTCGTCTGTAACTCACAGCCTAATATAAAGTCGGAGGAGAGCAGGAATCTTTTCTATTATCTTTATGGTTCATTCTCCACTGCCTGGCACACTGGAGACTCAACAAATATTTAATAAATACTTTTCTTGAAATAGAAAATGAGATTCCTAATGTGAGCTTCAGTCATTCAGAGGCTAGTCCCCACCTTACTCCCACCGCCCAGCTTTGGATTCTCCCCGCTGTCCACTATAACCACCTCGGTTTCAGCTCGCTGAAACCAAATCTTCTCTTTCTCCTCTGCTAGTGCTGCTTCAAAATGCTCGGCCTTTTTTCCTTGCCAAGCTAACATTTATTCACTTGACTTGGGCAAGTTCTCTCCCCGGAGACGGGGAGCCGCCACTCCTACCCCAGGCCTAGGCCACACCCTCTTACAGCCCCAGTTCCCCTCCTGGGCCCCTGAGCACAGCTCACAAGATGCTAAAGTATGTGTCTGTTCCCTGGTGTCCCCTGTGCTCCCAGAGCACAAGACCTTGTATCAGTCACCTTCAAATTTCCAGAGGCCAGAACCAGTGTGCTATATAAAAGATAATCAAGAATTTGCAAGATTCAATAGGTATTAAATACACTGAGATCCTTGGTATAAGTGAGCCACTCTGAGTGAGATGAGCTTTCCAGCATTCCCAATGCAGAGACCACACCTTGGACTGTTAATAAAACAATCCAGTAATGTCTTATAGACACTGC